TTACACCAAGTACATCGCCATGACATACATTGGCAAACATGATCCAAATCGCTTATCTTATTGTTTATTTACTTTTATTTTTTTCAATTGTTTGTTTATAAGAGCTTGGTTCAAAATGTAGGTCAAATGTTCCAGGCACTGTACGCGTCGAAGATTGTCAGTTACGCTCAAGGTTTCATGCTAATGGCAGAGGCGAGCCGGAAGTTTGACTGGAAATTGAACTTTGGCGCAATCGCGCTGATGTGGAGGGGTGGATGCATAATCAGATCGAGGTAAGAGGCTTAGCCTGCAGTTTATGCGTTTCTATGGGATTAACCTAACTATGCAATTATTCAGATTCCTCGGTGACATCAAGAAAGCATTTGACAAGAAGAAAGATTTGCAAAATGTTTTACTGGATGATTTCTTCTCCAAAGCGATGGGAGATGCGCAGGTTTGTTCGCTCATACGGCCAACTTAGGTTTTTTTTGAAATACGGTAATGCTTTTTTTTTAGAATTCCTGGCGTATTGTCGTAACGTCGGCCATTCGGTTGGGCATCCCGGTTCCGGCTATGTCGGCAGCGTTGGCATTCTATGATGGCTACTCAAGAAAGGCAAGTGATCATATTGCTAGACATACCATTTTTACTAGCCTGCCATAGTGCCGAAATTCGAAGAATTAGACTAATTTCCATAGTGAAGCCTCGGCCGTAGGAACTCAAATTTGTAATTTTGGCGTAAAGTGAGTGGAACCGCCGAGTCGTAGCTTATGAAAGCTTTAGGCGTTGTTGTCTTTTTGTTTTGGGGGTTTGTTCAATGTTCTCCCCTGCCCCACTTCTCGGGAATTTATTTTAGAATAATCTCTGGTGAAAATCTCAACCCCTTTTCACCGAAAACAGCCTCTCTCAAAAATTACAAGTGTGGCCGCCGCCCTCAGTGCGGTTTGCGAATCCAGCGAATCGCGGGTACGAGAGAGGCGCCAGCAATTCCAAAGAATGCGCCAGTGACTCGGCCGTGTGGGAAGCGGCTGATACTCTTCCTTTTGCACACGTTGACTCTCGTAACTTTCTCACGCTGTCGAGTCGTTTGGGCACCGTGCGAGCCGCTGGCGATTTGCTAGTTATTCGCTCTATTTGCGAATAATGTGGGCAGCCGGCCTATGGAGAGAAGACCATTTGCGAGCATTGATGTTTCCGTAACGCTTTAATCCATTTTGGAGTATAGACGACATAAGGCGCGTCGCGCGCGAGAAGGCCAGTAGACGCAGAGTCGGCGGCAGTGCAGCGCGACCACAGTTATCTCGCGTCATGTTAGATTAGACTGCTAACGATAGGCTTCATAGCTCATATACGTTTCGCGAGCGAGTCCTGCTGACCTGTTTGTTTCTCTGCATTCGCGCGTGCGACGGCTATTGTTCAGGTATCGCTGACTTAGGTATACACACATTAGGCAGTCCAATAATGTAGCTGTACTGATATCAGGCCAACAGAAAAGGCATTAGACTATCAAAGATAGTTAAGAGGTTTATTTAGGACAAGAGTATTTTTAAAATCTACAGATTAGTCCCCCGTCAACCGCCGGGACCTTCCTTTCCTGCGCAAGCTTTCTATCCTCCGCTATGGTCCCTTCCTCCTGTGACACCAACACCTGGAAGTGACGCGTATGCAACACAATGGTGTTTCAAACAGTAGAAGGGACACAATCATGATATGACGGTAGATTTTTCGCTTCCCTTCCTCATCCTCCCTTCCTCTCTCCACTGCCCTCCAGCTGCCACTGCAGCACCATGTGGAATGAACGGAAGTGTGCTAAGCAGGTGTTTATATAGCCCTAAGAGTGTTATCACAACTATCCTGCTACAAAACATTGATATCTCAAATCCTGTAAGCTACCCGATTTGTTAGCGGTTTGTTTATCCCATGAGCTTCCTTCTCACTCACTTCATTTTGCGGACGGACACACATACATACACACACACACACACGCACACACACACACATACAGATACACAAACCGACACACAAAGTTAGCGCTTTATATAATAGAAGGATATATTAAATGTTTCTATAATGTATATAGTGAAATGACGGTCCCCAATTTTCAACTTGCCCCCATGGTTATTTTTCAGTGGTGTGATGTTATTGACATGCTAGACGTTTAGGTGTTGCCGGCAAATTTGATACAGGCACAACGTGACTACTTCGGTGCGCATACGTACGAGTTGATGGATTCACCTGGCAAGTGGGTACACACGAACTGGACCGGCCATGGTGGAAGGGCAACCAGTAATGCTTACAATGCTTAGGGGAATAGCTTGAACAGGTGACGAACTTCTACGGAAGTTTCTCTGTCTGGTTCACTTTAGCCTTGAAACCTGTGGGTGATTGTGAATGTGGATTGTTTTGAACTTTTATTACTGTTAATATTACGAAGTGGTTTTCCTAGTAGTAATCACTGATACTGGTTTTATACTGATGATATCACGTAATGACACATCTGTCAAGTTAATCTGCCAAGTGACTCACTTTGGTTGTTAGAATTCATCATCATCGTTTTACCTGTGTGATCCAAAGTTTCCACTATTGTGATATGTTTCTACCGCCAAATGGTGGGTGGTGATCGTAGAAAAATAATATTATAAGTGATAACAAATAAATCTTAAGGGCATTACCGAGGTGTTGTTGTGCTGATCAAATGGCTAGAGATCAGTTTTGTTCTAGTATGCATTAAAAATGAAGAGTGGAGCACTCAGTGTTGGTTGAGCCTCTCTGGGGATGCGCCGCGCACTTCGTTTCCACACATAATCGTGGTAGTGTTTGGAAGCACGTCAGGCCTTACAATGACCTAAGGGTTCGGCCCATGTTAATTAATACTATTTCATCTTTTGAATATGATTGATGAAGGGTAAACCGAGTAAAATGCATAGTAAAAGGTAGGCAAGATAGTAAGGGCAATAAGGATAGTAAAAATTTTGCAAATATGCTGGAAATGTTCACTTTTTTCAAATTCTCCCAAGACCTTAGAAATGCCTATTTTCCTTCATCTTTTTTCGACCTCTCCACCAATTTCACAAAGGCGCTGCTGATCATATCGCGGACGAACATTCCTCCTGAGGAAGCCAACAGCTCCTTTTTTCTCGTTCACGATTTGTGGAGCAAGAATTA